AAAGATTTACTTGATAATATAAAGTGTTTATTTGAAGAATCTTCTGAATGGGTAAATTTCGTTAAGCAAGAAGATAATAATGAAAGGCTTAATACCACAGGACCAAAAATAGTTGCAGCATCTGTATGAGGCATTATTCCTACAATTATATTACATACATTATTTTTTGCTTAATTGCATATTATTATATTTATAGTTATTGTTATCTTGACTAGCTCCATATTTATTTATTATACACACATAAGGCTCTGATCTGAAATTTGATTGTATATAAAAAATCATTTATGAAAGAAATTATGAATTAAGAATTTTTATCTGATCTGATTCAAGATCTGATCTGGTCTAGTTTTAATTAAAGATAACCAACAATTAATAGATCATGTCAGTTATCCAGAGTTCAAGAAAGGATACAAGCTTATTATTAATTAATTGGGAAATTAATTATTACTAACAATATTTTTTATTCCGTTTAATTAGTTAATATTAACATTAGTATTAGATCCTAGTAAGAAAAAAAACGACTCAATTTAATCTCCAATATAAATTTATTCATTATAATTATTTTTATTTTATTTCTTAATGCTAAATTATAATAATAAACTTACAGTTTTTTGATGATATTGCAAGATAACAAACATTTCTGTTAACATCTATTATTTAACATCTACGGCTGATTATGGCATATTTTTTGGGCTACTTCTGACAAAGGAATTTGTTTTGGTTCTCACTTATTGCCTCTTTCTTGTACACAAAAACTGCAAGCATACTTGATAGAAACTGCAAATAAATAAAGATAGCTCTTAAAGGATTTATGAAGTTCATTTTATTCACTTCCCTGTTTATATTTCTTGGCCAATTGCAAATTCGCTTTGGTTTATTTACAAAATATAAACAGCTTGTTTAAAAAGCTTACACTTACAATTACCAGTATTTCCTACTAATCTTTGGACAATACTTCACTAACCGTTGTTAATATTTGCTAGTTAACAACGTTAGCAGTAAACCCTTGCTTACACACTAAAGCAAATCACATTGCTAATTGTTGTTAACACTCACCACATAGTTAACCAACATTGGTTCTAAGCAAATAAGCGTGACCTTTTACCAGGGCTCCACAATTGCTGCATTACACTTATTGCTTTTACCAAAGTGCTTTAAATGAAGAAAATAAAAATAACATTTTTATTTCTAAGGAATTATTTAAACTTTATTATATGTTATTTTTTCTGAAATTGTTTCAAATCCATGGTTATTCAAGTTAATTGAAATTATACAATATTTATTAATATATTAGGTTTCAAAAACAATGATCATAACAATTGAAATTTCCACAATTCAATACTTGCAAAGTGATTTAATTATTCATTTAAGATATTTGTACGAAGGCTTATATTGTCTAGTTGATTATTGAGCGACAATTCATTATTGACTCAATCATATTAATATTAATAACACATAACATTTACTAATTTTACTAGAATGAAACCAACAAATAGTGGCTGTTACTTTAAAAAATAACAACTGTAAAATGGCTCAGAAAAATGCATTCGATTTCTGTGCCAAGACCTCACTCCTGTTCTTTATACTTTCATTCAAACTCCACTAGGTTCCATATATGAAGCAGTTGTGACTAGTGTTAATAGGCTTGGTTCGGCTTGGTTCAAGTTTAATTGAACTCTGAGCTTGAACTGAACTTGAACAAGCTCATATCACTTTTTTATTTGAAGTAAGCCTGAACGTATAATACTAAAAATTTTATTATAAACATTAGAAATTTGGCAACTTGAAAAGTTTGGAACAACTTCGGGTCCTTGGTTGAAAAGCAGAGAAAAATAAACAACATTCTAATAAAGTAAAACTGTATATTTGAGTTATTATTTTAAAAAATTCCTTAAAAACATTATCTTTATTTTCTTTGTTTAAAGTGCTTTCATAAAAGCAACAATTGTAATGTCTTGATAAGAAAGGTGACAATTCTGGAGCTTGGCAAAAGGCTGCATTTCATGAGTAGGCAAAGCTGGTGAGCATTAACAAAGTATTCCCCAAAGATTAATTGGACATAATGAAATTGTTATTGCAAATGTAGTAAAACAACCTGTTTAAATTGTTTTGTAAATAAATCAAAACAAGTTTGCAATAAATATAAACAAGGGTAAATGACTGAAATAAAAAGTGAATAAAATGAACTTTATAAAAAGCTTTTGTGAAATAGCCATCTTTATTTATTTGAAACCATTAGCTATGCTTACAGAGTCACATGGAAGAAAGAGGCAGTAAATGAGAACCAAAGTAAATTCATAAACTTATTAATTGACAAAACACCGAATTATTGTGATTAATTGACAAGAGTAGCCCAAAGTTAGGCTGTAATAATTCATACACACATTAAATAACTAACGTTAACTGAAAGGCCATCTTGCAATATCACCATTTAACATAACAGTTTATTTATTATGTCAATTAGCTTTAAGAAATAAAATAAAAGAGATAAATATTATTATAATGAATAAATTTATATTTGGAGATTAAATTGAGTCATTCATCAACTCTTTCTTTTACTATATTTATTAATTAATTAAATGTGGATAAAAAATGTTACTAATATCCATTTAATTAATAATGAAATTTTTATTTACCTTCAGCAGCATTTAAGGGAATAGAGTTAAAATCAAGATCATTTAATGAACTATCATTACTTGTATAACTTTTCAAGCTTTTAGATTTAGTAATCTAATATGCTATTTATATAATATGCATCTAGGTGTGGTTTGTGCCTTGTTGTGAATTACTCCCACTACTAATACTGATATTATTATTATTACTGTCATCATCATTATTTCTTCATATTCATTTTTAGCCAAAACCAAAAGTTTTCTACTAGTTGGTCTTTTTGATGGATTAAATCTTTTTATGTATAAGTCATAATGCAGTATACAAATATCTAAAGATCATAATTCTGTCTTTCGATGTTGAATTTAAATATTTTTTTGCAAATAATCTCCTTCTAGAGTATAATTTAAACCATTGCACAATTCTCATTATCTGGTAATTTAGTTACCGTAAAGTCTGGAAAGATAGCATCCCCTTTTTACATATGTGTAACATTTTTTTTATATTGACGCTCTATTGTTTTAAAGTAGGGGGTGCTATCTTTCGAGGGGTGCTATCTTTCCAGACTTTACGGTATACCATAGCAAGCAACAATCAATTGTGGTTTAATTTATTTCCTGAAAATAAATATAAAATTAATTAGTATTTATTATATAATATATTTTGTTTTAAATGACAACTACCAACCTCATCAAAAAAGCCTTTTCTTGGATTGCTTGTATCATTTAACTTTTTAATGCTACACCTTGCTCTCCAAAATAATTAAACTCCTTCATATTTTTCCTCTTATCCACCTTCTGTCAACTTTGTCAAATAATATAATTAATTATGTTGTTTCCAGATCCAAGTAATGAAAAGATTCTGTAATTGTAAACTAATACAACCTTCATAGAAATCTATCAGAGTATCTTGTCAATTTACACTTGTTACATTTTCTGGCTCTCCTTCTTTATCTGATTAAACTCATAAATAAACATTTCTTTACAAATCTTTTTTTACTTCAAGAAAGCTCCTTGTTCTTTTTTCTGGTGATAATAACTTATTATATGACATAAATGTTTTATAAAATTTAAAATTTGACTTGATTTATCTATTGAAAAGAATTTTTTTTTAGAATTGAATGCCATGTAACAAAAATTCTCCTATAATAGTGGTATGTATACTTTAATATTTGACAGTTTATTTGACTCAAAGTTGATAATGGAAAATAATTGAACTAATTGCTACAAAGAAAATTCAGACGATTTTCTTGATAAATTGTCTTTATCATCAACTAACTATTAGTAATCTGTCAATGGAAATTGTTGATTTTTATAATTATTATATTTATTTAAAATTTTTATGTATATTTGTATTTATAATAATCTCTTATATAGCATCGTTAAGAAATGAAACGATCTATAGAACTTAAAAACTGTTATTGTTGCTGCTGCTGATGAAAAAACCACCTTTGAAATTAATTGTTGCTGATCAATTTAGTAGAAGCTATTTGGAACTGAATTGATTGATGTTTGTATAATTACCATTTGAATTATATTATTTTGTTGTCAATATTCTTAAAGCTACCCGTTGATGTTTTTATCAACTTATAATATTTATTGCACGCGTTCTTTTTTGGGGGGTTTTTCTTCAAAGCATCACTTCTAAATTTGTTAATGGAAACAAAAAGAAACTATAGTCAGGACTCTATATGGGAACCCTGTCGGGAACATAGTAACTTTTTCTAAAAACATTCTTATAGAGATGTATTTTTTTATAAGCTTAATAGTAGTTGGTCCCGCAACATATATGTTTTTACATGGAGGTTCTTATATGGTCCCCATTTCTTGTCATTTAATGTGGCTATAAGTTCACCCCGTAAATAAGTTCCTTGATTTACCATTGATAAAGATTCTGATCCAAATAATAATGCTATCTGCAGGTATTTGTTGTATCAATGGTACGGGGGCAAAGGGTTGGTGTTAGCGGTTGTGGTACTTTGAGTTATAGTGGTGCATTATCGTCATCGTCATTTATATGATTAATAATAAATAATGAATTTATAAAGATACTTCTTTCAAAATTTTTTTAATTCAATTCAATAATTCATTCACTCATTCATTTATGCTTGAGCAGGAAAAGATAACGCATTTTTATTTGGATTACTATTACAATATAAAAGCTAGACTCGCATGTGTATATGAATGCTGTTTTCAAGTTAATTTTTAAAGTAATGCTACCGAGAGAAAAGATTGGTAAACTCGGCAAGTTGATTGAATTCGAGTGGGTCCGTCGACTAATCAAGTTTATTATTGCTAATTTAATATTGTGACGTAACATTTCGCACATGATCTACATAAAAAAAATTTTTAACGTTTGAATTTTTTCATTATCCATACATAATAAAAAAGATGCATCGCATACTATTTTCTATTGTTATAGTAGTTTTGCTTTGCTTAATTAACGTAGAAGCTAAATCGACAACAGGTAATCATATACTGGTGCTGCTTGACAAAATCGATGAAAAAGATTTATATGCTAGTTTTTTTAAATCTTTAAAAGGTAAAATTTATATAATATATATAGTATTACTTGGTTGCAGATGTTAATATATATTCTAAAAAATTTTTTTTTTATTGAACTGGAACTAGATCGACAATATGTGCTTTCGTATAAAATAACAACAGATCCTTCAATCCAATTATTTAAATTTGGAGAAAGAAATTATGATCATATTATCAACTTTTCACCAAAAACAAAAAGTATTTTTTCTTTAAAAAAAATAATGTCATCCATTATTACATTTTATCAATTTATTTATTTATTTTTTATTTTATTTATATTTATTTTAGATTATAATCAGGAAATTAAACCAGCTTCATTGATTGATTTTCTTAAAAAAGGTGGCAACATATTATTAGCAGCATCATCAGATCTATCAGAGACAGTTAGAGATTTTGCACGTGAGTTTTCAATAGAATTTGATCAGAGAGATACTTCTGTGATAGATCACTTTAATTTCGATGCTTCTGCCGATGATGGAAGGCATATACTTATTGTTGCTGATGGATTTACCAATGTCAAAACAATTCTTAGCAGAAACGTAATTGAAGGTCCTCCAGTACTTTTTAGAGGCGTGGGGCACAAAGTTGGAACCATACCATTGTTAACCAAGATATTATGGGCTGGTGACACTGCATACTCATTTGAGACTAAGAAAGATCAAGTGGTAGATGAACAGCCATTAGTTGTGGGAAACGAAGTTGGACTAGTAACTGCGTTACAAGCAAGAAATAATGCAAGAGCTACATTTGTAGGAAGTTTAGAATTATTTAGTGATCAGTAAGTAAAGATTTTTCTGGGATTATATTGTTTGTAATTAATACCAGATTTAAAATAATCTGCTTTTTTTTTTTGCTTTGACAGATTCTTTAACTCAAAAGTACAAAAATTTAATTCTACAGAGGTGTAAGTGTAAATTTTTTTTTTTTTTTTGAATAATGCTTTTTAAAATATAAACATCTTGTTATTTTTTATGGTGATGATGATCATATTGTTGATAATGACAACGTTATTTTTCAGATATCCAAAATCAGGTAATGAGGCATTTGCAAAAGATTTGACAGAATGGTCATTTCAAGAAAAAGGAGTTTTAAAGGTTGTTTCACGAAATCATCATAAAGAAGGCGAAACTGAACAATTGGACATTTATCGAATTAAAGATGATATTGTAAGATCCTATAACTAAATATGTATATTTTTTTTATATATTGCTAGCATTTTTATTAATATATTTTTTGACAATAGGTTTATACAATTGAAATATCCGAATATGCCAATGGTAAATGGCAGGAATTTAATGGAAAGGATGTACAACTAGAACTTATCATGTTGGATCCATATATTCGAACAAACCTTACATCATTACCAATATCAATTGGGGATAAATCAAGAAAATATATAGCACATGTGAAATTACCAGACGTATACGGAGTCTTCACTCTAAAGGTCAATTATAAAAGACCTGGATATACTTATATAGTAGATTCTACAACTGTGGCCATAAGACCTTTTAGACACAATGAATATCCAAGATTTATAACAGCAGCTTATCCATATTATACTGGGGCAGCGTCTATGATGATTGGATTCTTGGTATTTTGTACAATATGGATTTTCAATAACGATCCTGATAAAAGCGAGAAAAGGAAGAAAAATTAAAAAAAAAAATCTCCGTTATTTAATTATTAGATATTCTGTGTACAAATCAATAAAAAAGTTAATATTGACATTATGTAATAAATAAATTGAAAAAATATCTTGCAATACCCTATATAAACAAATTTGAAAACAAAATAAAAATCGGCGTTTCTTTCCTTTTATTGAAAGAATTTCCCAACAACAATTTATCCTATTGTTACAATCAAGATTATCAAAGTTTCATTAGATTATCTGATTATTTAATAATGTTAATGTGGAAAAAAGTTCAGAAAAATTTAAAAATTTCTTTAAATTAAACAATTAAAAAGTGAAAATGTCAAATCTTGATGAACCTTTTGACATAACGAATATTAATGCCGACTTACAACAACAACAACCTTTTGGGTTTTTTGACCCAAGTTTAACAGAACCACGAGCTCCTGGTGATGTGTTGGACGATGCCAGTAAGAATAAAAAATTAACATCATTTTATTATTAATTTCTCGAGCCTTTTTTTTAATGTAGATCTGCACATCGATTATCCTGATCCTAATTAATATGCGTCTTCTTCATTTTGACAATTATAGGTAAAACTGTACTTTTAACTACTCAACTATTTATCTCTACGATGGCTGGTGGCAGTGCCTTTCTTGTGTTTTGTTTCTTAAGAACAAAGTGGAGCACTATGTTTGCTCCACGTTTAAGGCTTAACAAGTATGATTTTTTTTAATTGATATTTGTATAAACTTTTCTGATTATATTAACAAATCATTTTAAATAGACTTGCACCAGATCCTTTGCCATCATCTTTCTTTGGATGGATTAAGCCTTTATATGATATACCTGAATCAGTTATTTTAGAGAGAGTGGGATTAGATGCTGCTGTGGTAATTAATTAACTAAATTCAATATAAATGGGTGTGTTAAGAAAATGAACAAATCAATTAATTTACTAATTATTGTTTGTTATTGTTATAATATTAGCTTTTGGCATTTTTCAAAATGTCTGGTAAACTCTTTAGTTTTTGTAGTTGTGTTGCATTGTTATTTTTGGGACCAATTAATGTTTTAGATTATTTTAATGATGATGATAATGATAATGATGATGATGGTGGTGGTGGTGGTGGTAATAGTAGTTACATAAATAATTTTAGTTTTGATGATGGACCAATCCAAACTCCAGTAGATGAAGGAACGGAAACATTGATAAAGTTGATTTCATTTGTTGTATTCACTTGGGTATTCTCTCTTGCAACTTTTTATTTTTTATACTTTAATTATCGAGAATTCACAGAGACCAGACATAAATATTATTTAAAATGGAAGGAAACAATCACAGCTAGAACAGTTATGGTAACAGTGATACCTAAAGAGTTACAAACAGACAAAGCACTAGCTGAATATTATGATTCATTAGGTTTTGGTCAAGTTGAATCTGCTGTTATATATCGATATGTGAGGAAATTAAGGCATGCAATTCAAGAAAGAATGGATGCATTGAGAAAGTTGGAGGTGGCATATGCTGAATACTTGAACAATCCATGTTCTGATGTAAAGTATGAACCCTCAGAAGCACTAAAAGCATTTGAAGAGGCACAGAAAAAAAACCCAGAATCTTCTAATAAAGAAATTGCTGCCGTTCTTGCTCCTGTTAATAAGGAACGGCCTACTATGCGATCTGGACTTTTTGGAATATTTGGCAAAAAAATAGATAAAATTGAATATTTGACAAATGAATTTAACAAGGCTGATATGTTAGTTAGGCAGGGAAGAAGTGGCGCTTATCACTCTACACCTGTTGGCTTTGTCACTTTTGAAAGCATAACCAGCGCAGTAATTATTATTATCTCAATTATTGCCATACATACATATATTTATATTTACATTTATATTGAATATCAATTCTAATGTTACTGTATATTTATAAATTTACATACAAATGAATAATTTTAGCAATTAGCCGCTCAGGTTCTTATAAAAGCTCAACCTTTTGAATGTGAAACTGTTATTGCACCAGAACCTCGTGATATGTAAGATTCTATGTTTTACTGTTATTACTATTAACAAAATTTTTATTATTTATAAAAAATATTTTCAATTGACTGATCGTTAAATTTCTTCAAAATAAAATAAAATAAATAGATATTGGCATAACCTTACAATAAGGAATAGAGAATATGCGATTCGAACTGCAATGGTCAATTTCTTAATATTTATATTGGTATTCTTCTGGTCTGGACCTATTGCGTTCTTTGCCACATTCCTTGATTTAGAATTCTTAAGGAAAGTTTTTCCATGGTTGGCAGATCTTGCATCAAAAAATGAGATGGTAAAAGGTTTTATCCAGGGAACACTTCCAACACTTTCAGTCACCGTGTTCAATATTGTTTTACCAACAATTATGACTTGTAAGTAAAAAAAAAAATAATATATTTTAATTGTTCTTTATAATTATTGTAATGAGATGTCATAATTATTTTTAATTTTAATAGATCTTTCTCAACTTCAAGGATTTTATGCTCGAAGTGTGATTGAATTTTCAACATTTACAAAGTTAGTAGTATTACTAGTTTAATAATTTCAACATCATTCACTTTAAATTATAAACATAATATATATATTAATCAACCAATCTATATTTTTTCTATATAAAAAAAAAATAGATATTTTATATTTTTGTTATTTAATGTCTTGCTTGTCTTTTCGTTTGCTGGAACTTTTGTTAAAAATTTCGAAGAGTTTGTTAAAGATCCATTGGGAACAGCAGATAAATTAGCAAAAACTTTACCACAAGTGATTATTATTTTTAAATTTTTTTTTGCATCAAGTTTTTTTCCAATCGTTATTAAATACAATGGCACTTAAACATGTATTCCAAATGCACCATCTATATATTTAATGTATAGGTAGCACCATTCTTTATTAATTTTGTAATACTTCAAGGAATTGGTATATTCCCAATACACTTATTACAATTGAAAGAAGTCTCAATGGTCCTTTTTTATCGATTAATCTCAAAAACACCTAGAGACTATGCTGAAGCTAATGCACCACCATTTTTGGATTACGGAGAAGAATTACCACCAATGGTTTTAATTTTTGTACTAGTTTTAGTTTATTCTTCTCTTGCCCCAGTAATATTACCTTTTGGTGCTATTTATTTCTTCCTTGGTTATATTGCATATAAATATTTGTTATTATATGGTATGTGTGCACTAGGAAACTATATTATTTTTTTTTTATTAAAAAAGAGGAAATCAATATATATATATATACTTTGATAAAATTAATTGAAAAATTAATTTCTAATTATTAATATTTTATCTATTTTGTTGAAACAAATAAATATTTAGTGTATTTCCATCCATATGAAACTGCTGGTCTTGCTTGGCCTAAAATTTTTCAACAGATTACAATTGGACTTTACATATATCAAATATTGATGATTGGTTATTTAACACTTCGAGAGTCTTATTTTCTGGCAGTTGCTCTCTTACCAGTCGTTATAGCTACTATGTTTTTTTATCAGTTTGTTAATTCAGCATATGATCGTAATTCTAAATTCATTCCATTGGAAAAATTGAAAGAGGCAGAAGAACAATTGCCAGACCATACTGACAATGTCACCTTTAAACAAAAGGATTCCAAAACCAATCCAACAGCAGTCACCAATAGTGAAAATTCTAACCCACAAACCAATAGTAATGTTGTCGCTTCTTCATCGTCAGGTGGTGGTGCAGGCGGTGGTTCTTCTGCTGCAGGAAAAATTGTAGAAGGTGGATCTCAAAGAGATGTGTTGGAAGATGATTTGTACCATGCAGCACCAGACATGTACACTGATTATAGTCAACCGCCAATGACTTTATTTGATGGAGTTCTGAACACTGGGATGAGAAATTACGTTGCACCTGAATTGGTTGGCACTTTACCTTGGCTGTGGCTTCCAGTTAAAAGAGTAAAGGCAGGATTATTAAAAGGACCAGGATGGTTTAGTCGTATATTAGGTCGTAAGAAAGATTCGGAATTGATTCAAGATAATGAAATTCAAGCAACTGAGCATGAGCCAATAGTCACCGACCCAATTAAAGCAATGGAATCACATGATTTGGCAAATCAATCAGCAGCTGACTCCAGAATTCGTGACGAGTTGCTCAGACACTTGCAAGATCCCGCCAATCCACATAAAATGTATTACTGTAAAAAATTCAGAGATTTGATCGATGATGACGATGATAATGGTGGCAGACATAATAGCATACTGGGTTCTCCAAGTGGTACAAGAGTTG